TTGTTAATAGGGAACTTCTTTGGCAGTGGAACAATGATGGAAGCCTTCAGACAGGATGGAACAGTGGACTGGGATAAAGACCGATTAACGATCTTGGTGAAAACCCCAGCCAACTGGTCAGCACAGTCTTTAAACACACTGTTTTGCAGCTGAAATAGCAACTTCCAGAGCTTATAAAATCAGACAATACTTATTTCTAAACATTTCACATGGCTTAGCCCATATCTGTACAGCTACATCGAAAATTTGCTTCACATAGCCTTTTTTGGCAGCCCTAAATATACCATAGCCATATAATTTCAGCTAACATACAAGCAAGGCAACATGAAAAATAACCTCAAATATCACAATGGAAATAGTGCCATATGGTACATTTAGGACTGATTTCAAAAATACATTTTGAATACTTTCTAATATGACAGCTTTCACCATGTAGGATGCTTTCCCTGAAAAGGTCTCAACTGCATAGAAAATTAAATTATCGTATTGGAAATGTGCAAAATTTAATGTTGCTTAAGTAACTTGAAGAGCCACTGTTGCAATCTTATGCCCACTTAGTCAGGAATAGATTGCATTTGATTGTGGTATAAGAATCAGATTCCTAATTAAACTGGAATAGTATTCTAAATAGTATTTATTTATTGATCATATTTATATGGCTGCCCATCTCACATAGCATGACTCAGGGCAGTGTACAAAACAACCATAAAAACTTTCAAAAAAGACAAAAAATTATTATTATAAAAGGCTAAGAGAGAACATCACATTATAAACAATGGAGCCACTAGATCAAATTATTGTTCCCTTGAGATCTCCAAGCCTGATGGCACAACCAGGTTTTAAGGGACTTCCAGAAGGTCAGGAGAGATGGGGGCAGTCTCACCTCAGGGGGGATGATGTTCCACAGGGCGAGTGCCATGGCAGAAAAGGTTCATCTCCTGGGTCCTGTCAGATGTAACTCTTTCACAGATGGGACCTGCAACATACCTCTTCTGCCGGACCTGATGGGATGGGCAGAAGAGGCGGTCCCTCAAATAACCTGGCCCCATGCCATGAAGGGCTTTAGAGGTGAACAACAGCACCTTAAATTGGACCCAGAAGCAAATTGGGAACCAACGCAACTCGCAGAGCACAGGTGTAATGTGTGCTGCTCTAGGGGCACACATAACTGCCTGTGCCACCACATTCTGTACCAGCTGAAGCTTCCCGATACTCTCCAAGGGCAGCCCCACGTAGACCATATTACAGTAGTCCACCCGAGAGGTGACCAGAGTATGAGTGACTGTGAGCAGAGCCTCCTGATCCAGGAATGGGTGCAACTGGTGCAAAGGCCCTCCTAGCCACGACTGCCACCTGCTCTTTCAGCAGGAGGACCCTCGTTGTGCCCCAGGTCTGTAATCCCATCCAGCACCAAAGATGGCATAGTGCCAGAATTGGCAGGTCCAAAAATCCAGAGCCACTCAATCTTGCCAGGGTTCAGTTGAAGTCTGTTGTTCCCCATCCAGACCCCCACATCCTTTTTTACCAATACAGGGTTATAAGTAAACCTCTTTAAAAGACGCTCAACAAGGGCTGCAGCAAGTTCTAAAACACTGCTTCAACTACACAATTATATCTACCCAGGTACTTTGATTCCCATACTAAAGGTTTACAAAGTGAAAATAGCTCCAGTGTTGACTTAACGGTAACAGAATTGTGGGGCCATCAAAGGTCCCTATACTTGAATATTTTTAAGAGGTATCCTGGGAGCCAACAAGAATATGTTGGGCAGTTAGAGACTAAACAGGTATCTGTGCAGTACACAGCTACTCAACAATTAAAGTTTTTAATTATTGGTGGAGTATTCTCCTAATGGATCCTGGCAGGTTACCCCAAATAAAGTTATTTTTCAGCATGGGCTATCAATCCAATGTCTCCTTTTGGCTGGACCAAAAAGGCCAAGGAAATTTTTAAAGAAAAAGTCTTGGATATCAGTGCCCAGAACGATTTAGTGTCACTTGCAGATGTTTAAATGGTTGGCCAGGAATAAAAGGACATTTCAGATAGAAAAACACTGGACAATGGGTTTGACATCGTATCAAAGAACAGCTCTTACTAGAACAAGATCTGAATTGCTGGACTCTGTTAAATGAGGGGTAATTTCAGTGGATGCCATACTATGAGAGGAAGCGTATATATGGACCCCAAGTATAGAAGACATTGCACATGTCTTGTTTGAATGCCAATTATATGCCCCAGCAAGGGCCTTGTATTTAGAACCTATATTTAGAACAGCCTAGTGGGACCACAACGACTGTTTGTTCTACTTCCTTCTTTTATATTAAAGCTGTTCAGCTGAGAGCTCATTACATAGAACAGATTGAGGTCATGTGCAAAGGTGATGTGCTTAACTGAATATGCATTGTTCTGTAATTTGGTATATTTATACCTATGATATTGTTTAGTTAGTTGATGCTGTGTTGTATCTTGACATGGTCAATTGACTAATCAATAAATTAATTAACTAACAACTAGATGTACAGTAACTGAAAAATGTGATTCTTGTACTGATCTTAAAAATGAGGATATGCTTGAGTGGCATTTGTACTAAACCATTTCCAACTCAGATGGAAGGATACAGTGGTACCTCTAGTTACGAACGGCCCTCCTTACGAATTTTTCAAGATACGACCAGCT